ACAGATTAACTTCAATATTTCATTATTATATAAAAAATTATCAATTAGAGAATTATGATTTATTGACTCTTTAATTTATATATTATTCTGTTTATATTATTGATAATTGTCGTTAAACCGACTGATGAAACAATGAATTACACATTTGATTTAATTTGATTTGATTCCAGTCCATTTCTTGATGTGATTTTAAATGAGATCAGAATGAGAATGAGAGTGTAAAGAAATTAAAATTTTCAGAAATAAAATGTAAAAAAGTCACATTTAAATCTAATATAATTAAAATAAGATTAACAAATTTTGATATTTCATGTGAAATGATTGATTATGAAAAATTAAAATATGATTTAAAATTGATTATGATTTTAACTCAAGTTTGATCTCATTCTGATGATTATATAATACATCAATTTGATGATATAATTGATGAAAATATTATCTCTATTTTGCTCTTTATCTATTTATCATTATCAATTTTATTTATCAACTGCTGTCAATCAATTTATCTATCATTGTCAATTTACTTATTAATAACAATCAATTTATCTATTTATTGCTGTTAATCAATCTATCTATTACTGTCAATCTATTTATCTATCGCTGTCAATCAATTTATTTATCACTGTTAATCTATTTACTGTGGTGAATCTATCTACTGCTGTCAATATTTATTTATTTACCACTGTCAATTTATTTACTGCAGTGAATCTATCTATCACTGTCAATCAATTTATCTATAATAGACGCAACAGAGATATTTATATTAGAAAATAGCAATATAGCAATAGAAGGTTACAGAACACATCAAAATTAATGAAAATAAATATAATATTAAACATTGCTGATAAAGTGTGAATTACTGCACTTCTTTGTCTTCTATATAAAACTCATTGATATTCATAGATTTTAGAAGATCAGTAACTAATTTTGAATAATAAAGATTGTTATTTTTTTATAATTTTTATGTATATTTCATATTACTTATTAATTATTTTTGTAATTTATTTTTTACAATTCTAATCACTTTAAAGCCTCATCTGAGTGATTTGTTGTTACACACACTTTACAATGAGATTTATAATGTTAACTAAAAACATATAAAATGATTTTTACACATACAAAAATTTTTAAAAATCAATCTGAATTCTTCATTATCTTTATAATTTAAAGATTGTTTGAGCTGTTCAAAACTTCTAAACTTTGCAGCTCTTCTTATACAAAAATAATAATTAATATACTGTAATGCACTCGTTTATTATTTCCTTATTATTATATTATCTTTGTTTATATGTTCGTCTATTCTTACCTCTTTCCATTATACTCTCGCTACCACTATTTCTATATGTATATATATATGGATACATGTATTTCGCACATCTTCTTTCTCTTTCTTTTCCTCTTCAGCGATTAGCTACAACTACAACTACAACTTCAATTTCAACTATACTACTACTATAATTATTATTATCTTCCACTACACTATATACTATCTTCTACTATTCATTCTTCACACTGTCATCACCCCTCACATATACTAATATACATCATTCTTGATAATAGAGGGTGGTGTATGCTGTAGAAGAATAATAAATTGAAAGTATCATATTTTTCTCTATTAAATCCATCTACATTTTTGTGACAGTATGATATTCTGCTATGTACACCCACTTTTGCAGCACACTATTTCTGAAGCATTTGTAGCATAGCATTTATGCATTGCTATGATTGTAAATTCTCTAACTGAAATCAGTAAGATGTTATTTTCACATATTCAAGAATCTTTATCACAATAACATCATCTCATGTAATGCACTCATTTATTATTTCTTTATTATCTTTATTTATATTTTCATCTATTTTTGCCTCTTTCCATTAAACTCTCGCTACTGCTATTTCTATATGTATATATATATAGATGTATGTATTTCACACATCTTCTTTCTCTTTCTTTTCCTTCTTAGCAATTAGCTACAGCTACACTATTATTATTATTACTATAATTACTATTACTATTATCTTTCACTACATTATATATTATCTTCTACTATTCACTCTTCATACTGTTATCACTCCTCACAGTTTCTAATCGCTCAATCTTTAAAAGACAGTCCATTGAATAATAATCATGATCTCTACTCATAGCATCCGCTGTACTTGAGCTACCACTGAATCAGAAGCAATAAGCATCAGTGAAGAAAACTGTGAAATGTGCATCTCTATTATTGAAAGTGTGCAACAAGTATCAATCTTCTCTATAAAATCAAACTTTAAATATAATTCAGAAAGAGACACCTCTTCTGAAAATTTGAATGCAATTGAGACTGAGAAGATAGCTGTGACTAGAAGAATTAAAAAGTTATAAACTGAGAAAAAATTATGAAAACTTTAATATCAATGCAATACTTTACTGTAAAAATTGAATGAAATCATTTCAGTCATTTGAAATACACTCAAAGTGCATCTGAACCATGGTAGAGACATAATTAATGTGAATTGTAATCATGAAAATGCTACAAGCATCCTCAGATCACTGAAATCTACATTATAAACATTTAATATCTTAATGAAAAGCAGTGTGACTACTGTCAGTGGGAGATGTAGTCAGATATCACTTTGACAATTAAAACTTTGAAATTTTAACATGAATGATTACTCTTTTTAAAGAGATGTGAAAAAGTTTTAAAGTAAAAGTATGAAAGAATTTGAAAGCTTTATTATAATTATTATCACTTTCTATATCAGTGATCTTGATTATTACAATAAACACAATCATCAGAAGATCATCGAAGCCATCACTCATTTCAATGTCAAGATGCAACAATATTGATATCAACATATATATAATATATGAATTTTATCACCATGGGAAGAATTTGTTAGCTGGATGTAATGTCAAGTCACTGATTCAGATAAACGTTTTCAAGATGCAGATAGACAATACTGAAAAACAAAGCAATAAAAAGATCAGATAGTTCAAAAATTTACTTCACATTTACAATCAATTAAAGAGTATTTATGATATTCTTATAATGAATATCATCAGAAATCACATCTCTATATGAAAGTTCTATCTTTCATTCATTAAAAATTTAATAAATATGCAATCAAACTGAAAGAGTTAAGCTATGATGCCACTCTTCACAAAATTACAATGGCAGAATCAAATCTGTCAGAAAGATGGAAGAAATTTAAAAAGAAGTCAAATTTCAAAAACTCTATTCAAAGCTTTAACTAAAAAAATCTTAAACAGTATTTTATGACTTTTAAATACTAAGAGAGGCTTGTCTTTTCAAGCAATAAGACAATTATATATTGCTTGTATAACCTCTGTTTCAGACTTTGCAGTTCAAATATGGTGGAAAAATTAAAAGAGTTTTATAGAGAGGTTTCAAAAGCTTTAAAATTCAGCTTTAAAAAAAATATTAGGGGTATTTAAAACCTCTTCAATTAAAGCCATGGAGATTGAAGCCTCTCTACCACCACCACAAATGAGATTTAATAAAATCTGTATGAATTAGGCTCTCAGAATTATGAAGTTATATCCCAATTATTCAATTAGAAAAAGAGTCTCAACTTCTTTTCCAAGTGAATCAACTGGAGTAGATTTGAATTAGAAGTCATATTTTGATTGGAATGAAATAAATTCATCTGATAATTCAACATCTGTGCAAAAAAAGAAGATACCATCTCAGTTATTTAGAATTTGCTCCATGATTAAAGACAGTTTCTTGTAAGCAGCGATGTTGGAAATGGCTGCTTATATTTCGGTTGATCCTTAGGACTCTACGAGGATCAAGCAGTAGGAGATAATACGGTGATATATCGGAGAGGATTCGGATCAAGTAGTTAGATATTGAGGGTGTAGAACGTAGGGGTCAAATTATAACAGAATGATCCGCTGGTCCCTAAAAGGTTGGACCAGCTGCTAGCTATATACACACAGTATCGTAAGCAGATCGAACTTGCTATGATGTAGATGGCGTAGTATAATGCAAGTGGCAAGATAATGCCTTGATTTCAAACTTGATATGACGTTGGTGGTGCTATGTTCGGCGATGTCATATCCTGATATGACGTTGGTGGTGTTATGTTCGGCGATGTCATATCTTTAGGGCTATCGCTAATTCCGGCCTAGCACTGGCACCTTAGTGCGGGTTTCTTACATTTCTCTAGTTTAAATGTGGAGAAAGTGGTCTTTGAAAATCTCTCTCCTTGGAAGAAAGATCTTGTCAGTCTTATTGATTTAAATATTTGTCAACTTTCAAAAGAAGTTCAGACTGAACAACATCTAAGTCTTCTAAAACAAATGAGAAACAAAGCAGTTTTTATATACACTGATAGCTCAAAATGTGAGAAAACAGGTAATCTTAGAGCTGGAATAGCATATTCAGAAAATGATAAAAACTATATTCTGGATTCTTGGTAAAATTGGAAAAGAGTCAGAAGTTTTTAAAATGCTGAATTATTTGCAATTTCAAGAGCTTTCAAATTGGTTGAGATGAAGATTGAATAATGGAAAAGATTTGAGCATATTTGGATATTCTCTGATAGTCAAGCTGAGCTTAAAAGACTTCAAAGTAATAAAATCAGCAGTGGACAGTCAATGCTAGAGCTGATTTTAAAAAGTCTTTAAAATATTCAAAGAAAAATCTCATTCAATTGTTCTATTCATCTTCACTGGGTGCCTGCTCACATGGGTATATATGGCAATGAAATGGCTGATAAAGCTGTAAAAAAAGCAACTGAATTGGAAATCTACTTTCAAAGAATTGTAACATGGGCTTATATTAAGAGAAAAATAAGAGAATCATATTTGCAAAAATGGCAAGATATCTGGTTTGTACAAAAAAAGAGTGTACATTGTTCCAGGTTTGAAACTAAGCCAAAATAGAAAGCTTGCTCAATAAAATATAAAAAGAAACTTTTTGCTACAATAATACAGCTAAAACTTGGACATGGTTATTTTAAATCATATTTAACAAAGATTGGAAATGATTTAAATGATTTATGTTCAGATTGTCAGTTATATGAAAACCCAGAGTATCTTCTTTTACTCTGTACAAAGCATACAGAGTTAAGATTGAGATTGAGAGAGAAGTTTGAATTGACACAGTTAAATTTAAAACTTTTGTTCAATACAAAAACTGGAAATGAATCCTTGATTGAATATTTGAAAGAATCAAATATTGCTACAAGATTTCAATTGAATAGTTTGATCTGATAATGAATTCAATTTTTATTTTTCTTTTTTCTTTTGTTTTTATGTGTTTGCTTTAATTTTTATTTTTGTTTTTATTTTTATTTTGTTACTTTTGCTTTGAAATTTATTTCATTTTGATTACTTTTGATTTTGACTTGTTTCAAAGAGTTTGATTTGTGAATGCTTTCTTTTCTTTTAATAGCTGCTGTTTTTTATACTTTTTATTTCATTTGCTTTAAATTGAATGTATTGATCTATTGTCATTCTTTTAACATTCTTTCTTAAATTGAATAGTTTGAATAGTTGTTTGATTCTGGGCTGGAATTCTGCTATTGCATGTATTAAATTGACTTTGTATATTAGCTTATTCATAAGTTGAAAAATCCTGGAGTATTTCAGGTAGATGTCATAGCCACTGACTGCATACATCTATAATAGAAGAATAATAATAATAATCTGTCATAATTGCAAAATGACAGACACTGACATTTAATTGTCTTCTGATCAAGAAAGTTGATTGATGCAGAAACATGTTATGATACTCATGATAAAAAATTTTTGATTATTGTAACAGCATTTAGGAATTAAAGACATTATTTGAAGAGAAATCAGTATTTAATTCAAATCTGATCTGATCATGTCAATCTGCAGTATTTTATGATGACTAAAGAACTGAACAAATGTCAGATCAAATGAATGAAAGCTTTATTTATTTATGATTTTATATTACTACCTCACTCTGAATCAAAAAATTCAACTGATGAGCTCAGTCATTATGCAGACTACAATGAGATTTATAATGATCAAATTATATTATTTACCCTGCAATAGAAGCTAAAACATGGAGTTAAATTAAATTGAAAAACTAATACTTCTTTTCAAAATAATATTTCTTTTGATGTAGTCTGTGCACAGTTTTCTGAGCAAAATGCTTTTTTTAATAAGTGAAAAATGCTTCATATATCAACATTTTATACATTTTGTGTAAACTCTTCTTCTCTGATGTGTGTTGAGCAATATATGCCTCAGATTGCAGTCAATAAAGCTATTTTTGAGAACTCAGCATATACAGAAATATTTGAATTCTTCATTTCATTTTTGAATAAAACACAGAAAATTGATTTTTTTACTGCTGAGTAAAAAAGAAAGATAAAAAAAAGATATGATTGTTGCTAAAAATATACTATGAACAATTTCTGAGGATGATATATTGTGTGCTGATGATCGCGTGTATGTCTATGTATGTATGTATGTATGTATAGGTTTAACGTCCCGGAGAAAACACGGGCAGCGCCCGTGTTTCAGAAGCCTCCCGAAGGGCATGGAGACGTGCTACACTGGAGAGATTTCTATGTACACAGAGAGAGAGAGAAAACAGAATCCAGGTGGCAACTCTTGAGAAGACTCAGCTCATTGCAAAGGATTTTTTCTGAGCTGCGCATCCACTTCTGGCCCGATGTATGGCCATTCATGGTGGGGCTATAGTGTGGTTCCCTGAGGGGACCGCCGCTGCCGTGCCTGGAAGGCTTTATAGTGAGCAGAGAGGGATACCTCTTTCAGTTGATCAGAAAGCTGTCTGTGCTTCTAACATCAGAAGAAAGACAGATAAGATAAATGAAAGAAAGAGAGGGAAGGTGTGTGTTCTGAAATGAAAAGAATAAAAGAGAGAGGTGAAGGAAAGACTGTGTCATCTGCAACACCTTGCAGTCACGCGACCTGGCACAGACCTGGGGGAAAAGAGAGGGGAGAGCACTGAAGAAGGTTGTGGAAGGAAAAGAGCAGAGAATGACAGAGAGAGCAAAGAAAAGAAGGAAGAAGAAGCAGTTGAGCTGATAGAGACAAGGGCAAATGAGAGGAAAACAAAGCAGAGTACGTGTAGATACAATGCCGGCAGTCAAGAACATATCAGCTGAGTCAGACACATAGACTGTACTGATTACACCACAGCTAATTGAAACAGATGAGCTCAGTTGTGCTATCTGTACTGTCTGCATAGACTGTGTTGTCCCTGGCAGTTGCACTAGCTACCGTGGGTGTACTCAGCAGGCCGGCCTCGTGGAACTGCTGCGGGGGTTGTCAGATGGTGTGCAGCCAGCCGGCTGTGTTACCTTGTGCAGTACTGTGTGTAGAACTGCGTGCAGTCCAGCAGTTCTACAAAGTCTGTAGGGGTCAGAGACTCTAGATAGGCAACAGCTGTCACCCAGTTGTGTGGCTGTGCTGCTGACCTTTTGAATCAGTGAAGAAGGTGCCTCTGTGAGTGTCGACAGAGCATCAAATGTTCTGAGCTCTAGTTGTGTCCACAGACACAGATGAGCCTTGCATCTGCATGCTGGAAACGCCTGTGGTACCAGGAGAAGTCCCCATGAGAGGATCGGAGTGCAAGCCAGTGGTGAAGGGCATGCCGTGGCATGGTGAGCTCCGGAGGGGCCTTCACTTGGTATTCCACAGTCGGCCTGCTGAAACTCCAGCCCCGGTACCAGTCAGAGAGCTTGCCACAGGCTCCACTCCACCACTTTCGCCTTGTCTCTTGACTGAGCTGCTTGGCCACTGTGCGGACCCCACTGACTGTGGGTGTGGCCTCGAGTCCATAGACTGGGGCTGCAGTGGATGAGACTGCCTGCTTAGCCAAGCGGTCTGCTTCCTCATTGCCCTCTATCTTCATATGCTCAGGAGCCCATTTCAGGCCGATATTGTGCTGTCTGAGGAGCTCATGACAGCGGTTGTAGGCCCAGTTTGAGGAGGCTGCTGCACTGCCCCGTATGCCCCAGATGACTGAGGTGTTGTCAAGGCAGAGCCAGATCTGAGAGTTGCTGCTGTCTCCTGTGACACAAGGTAGGAGCTTCACAGCGCACTCTAATGCCCGGCAGGCACCAACTGCTTCAGTGTTGAAGACATGTGACATAGGGCTCAGCGCAGCTGAGAAGCTGGCCAGCTGTTTATTTCTCTGTTAGACTATGAAGTCATAGCTCATCTGTCTGCTGTTGTCATGATTCTATTCTGATCCATCTGAGAAAACATATAGATTCATTGAGGGTTGATTTCTCCATCATTTCTTGAATGTCTGAGCAGCACTCTTTTTATCTACACCCTCTGTGGGGTCTGTCCCGCATTCCTCTAAGTAGTGTGGGATGGCAAGTGTGGGCCTATTGACTGCAGGTAGCAGCACCCCCAACCACTGGATCTTGATCTTTGAGCACTGCTGGGTTCCAGCCCCTCTTCCTTGTGTGATCATTGGAGATGCTATCTGTGAAGTCAGTGGGTGCTTCTCATCCACCACCTGAAGCCTTGTCGCGAATCGCATTTTGACCTCCTCCAGAGCTACCATTGCTGATGGGAGCCCAGCATCCTGATATAGGATGGTGATGGGTGTTGTGTGGAAAACTGGGAGGACCCCTCTGGCTGCCATAGTAAGCACCTTCTCAACTGTCCCCACATGCCATTAGATAGAAGCTAACCTCCCCACTCCTGCCTGTATGTCTTGCTGGCTGTGTGCAGCCGCCGTACCAGGCCTCTGTGCCATAGAGCAATGAGGGAACCACACAGATGGTGACCGCCTTCTGCAGAGCATCTGCTGAGAGCCCATCTCTGATCTTTCCCAGACTCTGGATGTGCTGAGCTACAGCCCTTGCCTTCTTTGCCTGAGTGGAGACATGTGGTCTCCAGATGAGCCTTCTGTCAAAGTGTACACCCAGTCAGTGGAGTGCTGACTTCTGTCCAGCTGAGGCAGTAACAGGGTGAACAGTGAGGTTCTCAGACACAACTACTGCTGATGCCTCATTGTGTCACTTTCTTGTAAGATGGATCATCTCAGTTTCTCTGATGCGAAAGCCATCTTGTTTATCTCCCCCCATCTCAGAATACTCTGTATATTCTGGCTGAGAAGAGTGGCATTGTTGTCAAGTGAGTGGGTCGCCTGTCAGTTGTTCAGATCATTCACATAGTCAAAGTGCAATTCTGAGTTTTGCCACAACAGCTCTGTCAGATACAAAAGGAACAGTATTGATGACAAAGAAGATCTCTGTGGTGTGCCACATTGCATCTGATGTGCTGCTGTGGTGATCCCCTCCAGCTGGACCTGAGCTCTGCATTCAGTGAGGAAACTGTCAATGAGCTGTAGCAGCTCGTGTGGCCACTTCTGCTGCACCATCCACTGAAGCAGCTGCCTGCGCAGCACAGCATCAAAGGCACCCTGCACATCCATTGTGACCATGGACACTTCCTTGTTTTGTGTGAAGGCTGCCTCCACCTCATGAGTGAAAGCAGCTATCAGGTCCATTGCAGACCATCTGAGCAGCGCTCCTTCATGCTGTGGACTGACTATGCCGTGAATGAGTGCCGTGTACGCCAGTCGCCTTGCAATGATGCGTTCCAGCCCTTTGGAGATTACTGAAAGCAGGGCAATGAGCCTCCAGGAGCGGACTGAGCTTCTATCCCTTTTACCCATCTTGAGTATCATTGCCACCTCTGCCAGTTTCCAGGCTCGTGGGAAGTGGCAGAGCCGGAGGCAGCAGTTGTATAGCTGCTGTATAAAGAGGGACACATGCTGCCAGCATGCTTTGAGCATCCACATTGTGATTCCATCCATGCCTGGGGAGGTGCTCTGTACCCCAATGATGTTGCACTCCATCTCCTCCATCTCAATCCGGGGGTTCCAGGGCAGGTTCCCCATGCCGCTCCAGTGCTCATCATTCAGTGGGTCATACTCCAGATCATCAGCTGAGTTGTATCACTTCAGAATTGCTTGTTGAAGTGTCTCAGCTTTGACAGCTGTCTCTTCTATGATCTGATCCTCAATCACCAGAGGGGGTGCTCTGAGGTTGGGCTTCAGCTTATGTCATGCCATCATTCAGTACAGGTCTCTACCATCTCTGGCCTCATTGATCACCTGCCTTCAGTATGCACACTTGGCCTTGCGCACTGTGTCCTTGAACTGGTGCTTCGCGGCCTCTGTCTGGTGAGTGGTGAGCTCTCAGTGCGCTCTTCGGCAGTCTGCTGTCCATCAGGAGGCTGTGGTCCACTCTTGTTGAGCTGGCTTAATGACTGCCTGAGCTGCAGCCAGAAGACTCTGAATGAAGTGCTGAGCCAGATCATCAAGCTGTGCCACATTTCCAACCCCCTCTGGGCAAGGCATGTCCATCATGAGACCTCTGACAAGATCTGCAAAGGGCTCCAGCTGAGAGTCTGTGATCTTGATCCGAGCATCACTCAGCTGTGTTTGAGGTGTTGTTGGCAGCATAGTGATCATAGACTGATGATCTGAGCCGCAGTGTAAATCTTGATGCACTGTAGTGGAAGTAAAGACCACATTGGAGAAGATGAGATCAATCACATGATCTGCTGCATGAGTTGAAACCCCTATCTCTCCCACAAAGTCCATCCCATGTTCACTGACCCATTGGACAAGCTCCCCACCTCGGTGCAGATTCACTGCCCCTGGTTCAAAGGCATCATGCTGTACATTGATATCCCCACCTATCAGACAGCGGGCTGGTGGGCTCAGATTGATCAGATAGTCCATGACTGTGTCTGTCTCAGACTGTCTGTACACATTGAGAATGTGGCAGCCATTTACACTGACTCATAGCAGATCCCTGCTTTGCACAGATCAGTGTTGCTGTGCCCTTGTCTTTGAGCTCTTGCATACATATGTCATGACCCGGGGCCTCTCCTCCTCTCGCTGCTCCGGGTTAGTGTCATCCCAGCAGTCTATAGGCGCAAAGCACTCATACACTGAGTGGTTAGAAGTCTTAATGCCAGGGTGTGTGTATGGCTTCTGTATACAGATCACTTCACAGCCCTGCTTGAAAGCAAGCTGCAGAGCTGCTGTGTGACAAACAGCTGCTCTGACTGTATTTGCTCAGAAGATCTGCAGAGGGTGATTTTTCTGCTGATTGTTTCTGCAGCATCAGCCGCGTCGCTGGTGTTGATGTTCTAGCATGAGGAGTCACTTGGTGAGCTGCTGCTGAAGTTCATCTGCAGAATGAGGTTGAAGGCCTTCAGACCTGCCGTCTGCATGCTGAAGTCAGATTGTACTTTAGCTGCTTGACTGTGCTGCCGCACTGCTGTGCAAGCTGAGTGTCGCCTGGTGCGGGCCATCTGCCAGGTGGCATCCTCCTCACTGATGGAACTCTGAGTAGCCGCCCGCTTGCGGGGTGCTAGCCCAGCGGGCTGTGTTGACTGGGCTGACTGAGTGGTTGGTGTAGGTACCACCACTGTGACCATTGGCGCTGGCTGTGCTGGCGGCGGTTGTCGCTCCTGAGCATCCCTGTGGCACCTGTCGCCAAGGCGGCGAACAGCTGCTAGCTCTTTTTGAGTTAGGCGCCTGAGGGTGCCATTCTCGCGCCTGGGTGCGGCAGGGCAGTGCTGATGCCCAGCTGGGTAGGGTTGGCAGCAGTTGGCACATCTTGGCGCTCTCTTGCACTCCGCGCCTGTTGGCCCCTCATGCTGACTTGTGGGCTCACTGCAGTTGGAGCATCTTGCCAGTTGTGCACACTTTGGTGGGTGGCAGAACCCCTGGCATCCTGGGTTATATCTCACTGCCAAAGGCCTTTTCTCAATCAGCCTGGCCCTCTCACTGGCATTGAAGAGTGAGAAGCCCTTTACCGGGGCAAGGAAGGAGACAATCCATGTAATCTTCCCTGTCTTGGGGTTCACTCCATGACGCGAGGGTCGACAGCTCACTGGCTTTACCTTTGCCTGAGTCAGAACCTCTCCCTCAATCATCTTGTCTGTGGGGATTCTTGCTCCTTCCCAGTCCTGGACAAATTCTGGGACCCCTGGGACAGCATAATTGTACCACCGCTCTGGTAGCCGGATCTCCGTGGCGCCAAGGACTTCACAGAGAGTAGCCACTGCCTTCTCGGTGGTCAGAGTGTTGCATATGCCTCTGTCATTTGATGTGATCGCCCAATCTGTCCTGGTGGGCTCCACCTTCGGCACATTGGCCACATCCCCCACCCCCTGAATGTTTGCAATGATTGCCTGCCGCACAGCATATGGCTGTAGCCGGGCGACCCGTTTCTCTGACTGGAGGGTGATGAGGACTCATGGGTCCTCCTGCTATTTTGTACCCCCTGTGGGGCCTCTTGGCTGACTGGTGCTTTTGGGCTGCAGGCTAGCTCCACTAGCCCTGCCTGCTGGGGAAGCCGCAGTCTTGGCAGGGGTAACCTCAGAGAGGGCAGAGTTTTTCCCCCTCTGAGCAACACCTGCTCAGGTAGTCAGCTCCCTCGCCGCTGTCTTTGCTGCATTTGGCTGCGGATGAGTATCCGGGGCAGCACTTCTTCTCAGAATTGATGCTGCACTCAGATCTGCTGTCACATACTTGACAAATCTCTTACAGAAGATTCAGGCAAAGTTCTGACTGACTGACTGCTTCTCCTTCTCAACCCAGCTGTTCAGAGTCTTTGCCAATCTGATGAGAGTCTTCTGCTGTAAATTCTGTTGCTGCTGAGCCTCCTCAAACTGCTTCTGCAGCCGAGAGGTGGCTGTGGAGATGCTGTCGCTGGCTCCTTTGAGGACTGAGGGAGGCATTGTGACAGTCTTCCTCTGCCTCTTGCCAGCCTTTTCAGTGACAAAATTAGCCGGTGACTCCGGCTCCAGTGGCCTGGTGTAGGCCGTGTCGATGTCCTTGGGCGGACGGGAGGATGTTGAGAGCTCCATGACCACTCAACCTGTGCAGTACACACACGTAGAGAAATCGCAGAGGGCGTGTGATGATATTGAATGGGCTGGGGGGTTAAAATTATACGAAAACAGTTGGAAAAGTGGAAAATTCAAATGTACCCCTACGTTCGTGGGTAGTTGTAAGGATGTTGATTACTCTTGAGAGGAGACACTAGGAGCCTTAACTCATAGATTAGAATAAAAGTAGAATATGAATGATTAGATGACTTGCTGTCACTTTCAAAAGTCTGAGTTATTCTGAAAATGGTGTTGTGAACAGTAGAATGTGGCTGTATACCTGCCACTCTTCACACTGTGCTTATTCAATCGCCCGCGGATAACTTCTGAAGTGTAGCGATGGTGATGGATTTATCACGTCGTCCTTTGAAATGGGCTTTGCCCCCCGTCGCAAGGAAATATGCAAACCAGGCTTTGAATCCTCCATGGTCCAGGAAGACTCATGCTGTGACCGTTGCTTCAGAAGTGCAGGTTTCCAGTAGTCTTTTCTTCAGCCCTTGAAGAGTTCTTTGACACTTCCACTCCTCCTTGAGTTGTTGCTTAAATATCCTGATTGAATTTTTGACTATCTCTTGATTTGAAGTAGAAGTCTTGATGGAATCTGTTGCAATTTCTTCATCAGAAATCTGCTCTATGGCATCTTGCGCCAAAGTGTCGGTGGCTGCGTCAGTAAGAAACAGGTTGGGAGACCACGTCGTCATTTTTTTGGGGGTTCGAGGTAAGTTAGGTTCAAAATATGGAAAGTTACTTTGTTATCTTGCTTGAGGAGTATTTATCTGAGTGGACTCGTCGGTGTCTTTGTCTTGCATGAAGTAAACTAATACTTAACAAGTGGCAAATTTAAGAATTTATCTCGCCTCGCCACCGCACTTGCAGGGATTCAGCTGCTTGGTGATAAGTTCAAGTCGAGGTGTGAAGCAACATCAAATGATTCAAGACACGGAACGATGCAAGTTTTCCGCATTTGAGTCTGGCGCCCCTGGCTGCACTTTGCATATTGGGCTTTGCTGTGTGGCACCTGCGCATCTTCCTGAGGCATCCCGCATACCAACAGCAATATGACGGGTTGGTTTACCTGTATTAATCCTAAATTGGAATAGGCTGACCTTCCTCAAAATAAAATTTCAATCGCGATCGAATAAGAGTTCCTTGCTCAGCGGCTCTATCCGTTCCCACATTTGAGTTTTGCATCAAAGCCAAGCCGGATCAACCGTTTGACCATAATCCTCCCTTTGATTTCTGTTCTCAGCGAGCTACCCTCTACCCGACCCGGTCGATCGTTTTTGCTCGTATGTCGGTTGGAGGTCATGAATCTACAGGGCCAAGTGACGCCATGCAACCAAGCAGTAACGAATTGCTGTGTCCGTGCACCAGTTTGGGATGGCAACGTAATACCCAAATCCAAATTCACACTTGCAAGTGCCTCGGCGCATCATCCTAGAGGATCCGCAGCATACTCTGGATAAGATCACTCAGACAATTAATCATACAGGTCTCGACCTTACGAACTGTAAGTCTCTTAAATTGTCTGTGTACGGATCCAGGATATATTCCCGCTCTCCCCGACCGGCAGTTTTCCTTGGATGGACCCGCCTGTGGCGACGCATCTTGACAATATCCCTGCGATACGCCGAGCGACCTCAAGTTCGCTATCCATCCCTGTAAAAGATGAATACGGGACCTTCATGAGTCACCCATTTAACAAGTAACATAGCAGAACATACCACCCTTGCGACATAAGTGTACTTTATGCCCTTTTCCATGAATCTGTGGGAGATGTTGAAGAGGGTGTTGTGGTCTCTTGGCATTTTTAGTGCAAACAAAATGGGCCAAGCAATTATGTATTTAGTCCGGAGTTAGCTGACATGTGGAATAATTAACCACTGAAGGATGACTCCGCGCCATCCCAACCAAAGCAAATGATGGTGACCCAGGAAGTATCTCAGAAGTGGATCTTACATGCCTAGCCAGCCAGCGACCATCTGCATATCTTGCAACAAATCGCCATCGAATATCTAGATATGGTTAAAAGCGACCGCTCCTCTGCTAGCTAATACACATGCGACTCGAACGATGTCTTTGATAGGGGTCAGTCAACAGTCGCGGTCGAGAGGAAGCAGGAATCGAATCGACTGTTATTCCCCAGCCTACGACACAAACGTCTCAGATAGTCACTTTCCTTGGTCAATTTCGTCGATGACATGTTAGGAACAAGATATGGGTAGAAGTATAGAACTGTTGGATGCTGGTTGGAAATACTTGGGAACAGTTATGACTTTTGCATATTTGTTTGGCATGTCTCATTCCGGACTAGCTTGGCCAACCAGTGTTTCGTAGGCTTGCTCTGCTGTTGATCAGCGAGAGTGGGATGGATTTACGTGATCGTTCTGATAGATCCCGTACTCTAAATGCCGAAGTGTGAGAGGAGACAAGGATAATGGCATATTTGAGTGGGCAGTTGACCACTTCAGGCAGCAGTGCTAATTTTAGTTCGCGCTCCCATCCGCCCTGAGGTGCTAAAAATATATTATCACGTGATCGTCTTAGTGGTTGGCACCAATTCTGGACTCGGGCCGCTACCACCAACCTTTTCGCTGATTGGCTTCCAGCAACCAACGGCTGGCCCTCAGCAGCAATCATTTCTGGATGAGCGCCTGAAATGCATTCTGGGATCCTGTGCAGAAGGTTAATTATAAGAACCTCTGCCCCTTCTGACCTCAATACATACTGGCATGATAAAGGAGCTAAAATTTTATGATTATGACCATATGCCTAGTTCAGTGACCCCCAACCTGTCTCGTAAGCATCAGTATCCTGAGCCCCATCCATCCGACAGGTCGCGATTTCAGAAAAGGCAGAAGCTCAACGCGTCGGCATCAGCATATTGGGATAACCTGTCAAAGATTTGGTTAACCAAAGATGCATTAGAGGAACTGGATCGAAGAAACAGCTGTCTGAAACCACCCCAGAACCATCATAGACCTATCACTCGACGATTTCACACTGAGTTGAAGAAGTGCTGTAATCCTTTTCAGTTTGCTCCGGCCTTTATCCGTGATTGTGCACCTGCTTGTTCAAAGCAGATAAGGAGAGTTTCCAGATTGGGAGGACCTGATCTAACTGACCTTAGAAATGTATGTAACTACAAATCCATGCAAATACATCTTTGCTGATAATATTGCCCAGTATCCTAAACCAGAAACCTTCCTCGAAAAAGCAATGAGCTCAAGGTCCCAGAGTAGAAAGCGACGCGCAGGTTCTCCTCCATCAACAAGTGCAGATACAAAGGGTACCACAAAGTCCACAAGCACCACACCCTATAATCGTAACTTTCAACAGAATCTAATTGATCATGGCGTTTACCCTGACGGATATGAATATCCCGATGGTCGAATACCAGCAATCCCAAAGAACTGGGAGGAGATCAATGAAACATTAACTCGACCCCGACCCTCTCTTTCCCCATCGAAGTTCTCCGATGAACATTTCCGAAAATTCAAACGAGCAGATACCCACGCCTTTAAAGAACAACCGGTCACAACATCAGTGATTCCTATCATCGAAGGTGATGTTGATGATCCCAAATGTGCCGGAGGGGGATACCCGCTTGGAAATCTCGCCCCCTTAACTGATGGTGCACTGGCTCAGGCCAAGCCAGATCACTTCTACGGTGCGCGTCCTGAACAGCTTGATCGCCAGATACGCAATGAACTGAGCGATTATATCATCCCATCAACACAGGATGACCTTCCGATGGTACCGAATTTCTTTTTGGAAGAAAAAGGGCCCGATGGATCCTTGGCTGTGGCTACACGGCAAGCCTGTTATGACGGCGCACTAGGAGCTCGAGGCATGCACGCTCTCCAGTCATACCAACAAGACAGATCAACTTATGACAACAGTGCTTACACCCTTGCATCGACTTATCATGGCGGTCAACTCAAGCTATACACAACTCATCTCACCGAGCCGGAAGGCCCAGGCTGTCGCCCTGAGTATATTATGACCCAGCTCAAGGGCTGGTCGATGACCAGTGACCCGGTAACCTTTCGGCAGGGAGCATCCGCATACCGAAATGCTCGGGACTGGGCAAAGGAAAAGAGGGATGAATTTATTAGAGCAGCAAATGAAATGCACTCAAAGGCTCAATCTCAGCTTCTTCATTCAACCTCTCAGTGTCAGACGGCTTCCGAGGCAGCTCTTACCTTGGACGACTCTGATCTATCGACATTGTCTGACCAACAGAGTATCAAGACACCCAATGGAGCTTCGCAAATACAACCGAAGAAGGGGGAGGAGAGTCTCAGATTCTTAGTAGACAGACCAAGAAGCTGAGAGTTGGCTCTGTTGTTCAAGGTGATACAGCAGGTAATAAGTCTACTAGATGTCCGAATTGATGATAAACAAGGCTCATCATGCACACAGGGAATCCATAACCTGCACCAGGGCAGCTTCCCTTTTGGGGTTGATCAAAGTCACAAGAATAGCGTAATAATGATCGGAGTTTCTTCGCATAACTCTCGAAACTTCCCACCGGGGCGTGGGCCTTTTTAAATCCACATAAATACAATATGTTCTATATTCGTACAGCTTTTTCCCTTCTAGTTCGCCTAAAGCTAGCTCATAACAACCATACCCAGACTAAACTCAGAAAATTTCCTAGAGTATACTATATAGTACTGTAAAAATTATCATATCTTTTGAATGATAAGAATGACCGCATTTAAGAGTAAAATGGCCCCTATACTATTGAGGTATGTAGGGTGACCAGGCTGCGCTTTCGATCGCGGGGCCAAAAAGCGGCAATCTTGCGGTCACTGACCCTGGTTGGAAATATCCAAGGAGGCCCTGCGCCAAGAGAGCGAATCTCCCAGGCAGCGGAAACGGTCATGGGGTCGGTCCAGCGGGCAATGCCATCATCGGTTCGGACAAAATGTTCGAAAATGATTCTTACCTGTCAACCTTTGTCCCTTAGACGC